GCTTTGTGTCCTGCCACTTTCATTTGTTGGAAGTTTCATTAAATGTATTTTAATGCCTTGTCTAGTTTTGGTTTTCTTGGGTGACCTGATTTCTAAAAGAAACATAATTTCAGATGCCCTGAATAAATCATTACTACAATAAACTTCTTGTTAGGGAAAAATAGACTTAAGAATACTCGGACTCATAGAAACATATTGTAGTGATGACTTCCTTCCTAATTCCCTGTATTCAGTGAAGCACTGGATTACCTTCAAACATGTTATAAGCATGGCGTTACAGTAATAAAAAGAATATTAAACTCCCTGCTAAACAATGTTTCACAGTACAGGAGAGTAAAATATAATAGGAAGCTAAATTTTTTGATCATTTGTAATAAAGAACTTATACAATAGTGCTAATGTAAAACAGTTCCATGAAGCAAAGTTTAAATAATTGGAGCCAAAATCTTACAGGTTAAGATTTCAAACTCACACATTTGTCTTTGGCAAAATGTAAAGTGATTTTCTTTCTGCAAAATAAAAAGGCACTATTATATGTAGCTACATTCTTGCCTAAAAGTTCCTTTTAAATATGATGTTTAGTGTTGGAAGTAGTATTCATGTGTATGTAAATATGTGTATATTATATGTATGTATGTACATGTATGTATATATATGCATATACATAATATACACACATATATATACATGGAAGTGGCAGGTATGGCTGTTTTCCTACTACATTTCAAATTATGTTGAAAGTTTTGCTGAAACAAATATTTACAAACCATGATACAGATTATTTTGCACCTGTAGGTCTCATAATTTCACCAAAAATTGGCCAGCACAATCTTCCACTCTTCTCAAGTGAGAAAAAAGTAAGATTTTTTCCCATTTTCCCAGGAATTACACTTGCTGTACATGAGGAACTGTGAAATTTCATTCATGAGAATTTAAGTGTAAGAGACAAGAGAACTATGCAGGTAATTTGCAGGATTTTGATTTCACAGTCAATGAAGACCAATGTTAAACCAAAACTGGGAGAAACCTGGGAGAGCTAACCTTCCTCACAACACGAATCTCAACCACACTGCTGAACATAAATTAAATTATGATTCTAATTGATATGATGAAACAGATCTATTGAGCCTGGTTTTCAGGATCTGAAACATGTATTTGCTTTCCTAAATGAAAAGCTATGTAGCTAAATAAATACATACATAGATTTCAAAAAATGTGCAAATTCCACGTGTACTGTATATACACACCAGCCAGCCAGTCTTTTTAAGATTGGGCCTTTTCTATATTGTCAGTTCTCTGTTCCCAAACAGGGAACTACCTCAAGATTTTCTAAGAAAACTAAAATTAAATATTCGACCATCAGAATATGCAGATAAACCAGGCAATTGATGTTGGTTGAGTTAAACTCTGGGGTATGTTTTATTTTATTGTGATTATAAACCATGTTATTTCTGTTTTAATTTGCAGTTCTGTTTCCATGGTAATTATGGCACTGGAGAAAGGGCACAAAGACTTTTTTTACATAGTAAAAAAATAGAAAACATGGTGTTTGTGCGGGGGGGTTCTGTGTTTTAAATAGTAATTTCAAAAGCTGTACTTTTGGTTGTCCTATTTGCATTCAGAAACGTAGAGAGGTTTGCACAATGAAAAAAAGCCTTCAATCAAGTATACTCTATAATATTTTTCAGTCACATCTCACAATCAGTCCTAGAATCCCAGGCATGGGCACAGGAGTAAATTAGATAGGAGACCTCTAGAGAAGATACAGGAAATTGCAAGAAGTTATACTGGCGGTCTAGAAAGAGGCATGATTTCTTCTTTCTTTCATATACAGTGAATTTCTAAACATTACAAAGAAAGATATACAGGAGTGGCATCTTTTTGCTAAAAATGACTGCGGCCATATCCTACCTATAACCACGTTATACGTGTTCCCATATATGATCATTGACTTACTTCTAATTGCCATTTACATAAGCTTTCCCTAGCCTCAAGTTTTCAATCCTTTATTTAGACCTTGGCTACATACAGTTGATTTAAATTTTGGCATGGTTGAAGAGGGCTTTCTCTGATGAAGCTGATGTGTTTAGCCTGTTTCTTCCAAAATTAAAACATGCATGTGAGTTCCCAAATGAAAGGCTACTAATTTACCATAAAAATACATACACAACAGGTAATTGGTCAAGCCAAAGTGCACCTTCATCATGTGGCAAAAGTGAGGGGGTAAAGGCTACAACCGAATGCCTACTGAGGTAGCTGGGGGTCACTTAAAAGATCTGTGTTGACAGTGAAGTATCTGTCTTTAGGCGGTTTTCACTGCCTTTTGGAGGTCACACACTCTTAGTCATACTCACCACTGTATCAGTTATTGCAATAAATAAACTGGAAGCAGTGAAAACAATCTCCTCAGGAAAATACTTTTAAAGCATGTTTAAAATCAAGCTAGCAGTTATACTTGCAAGGTAAAAGCAGTAACATGAATGCTGAAGACATGTACCCCATGCAGCGCTACAGGCTTGGGGAAGAGTGGCTGGAAAGCTGCCCGGCAGAAAAGGACCTGGGGGTACTGGTTGACAGCCGGCTGAATGTGAGCCAGCAGTGTGCCCAGGTGGCCAAGAAGGCCAATGGCATCCTGGCTTCTATCAGGAATAGTGTGGCCAGCAGGAGCAGGGCGGTGATTGTGCCCCTGTACTCGGTGCTGGTGAGGCCCCACCTTGAATACTGTGTTCAGTTTTGGGCCCCTCACTACAGGAAAGACGTTGCGTTGCTGGAACATGTCCAGAGGAGAGCAACAAAGCTGGTGAGGGGTCTGGAGCACAAGGCTGATGGGCAGTGGCTGAGGGAACTGGGGTTGTTCAGCCTGGAGAAGAGGAGGCTGAGGGGAGACCTGATGGCCCTCTACAGCTGCCTGACAGGAGGGGGTAGTGAGGTGGGGGTCGGCCTCTTCTCCCTGGTAACGGGCAATAGGACAAGAGGAAATGGCCTCAAGTTGCACCAGGACAGGTTTAGTTTGGACATTCGGAAAAATTTCTTCACAGAAAGGGTTGTCAGGCACTGGAAGGGGCTGCCCAGGGTACTGGTTGAGTCCCCATCCCTGGAGGTATTTAAAAGACGGGTAGACGAGGTGCTCAGGGACATGGTTTAGTGGTGGGCTTAGCACAGTGTTGGGTTAACAGTTGGACTTGATGATCTTAAAGGTCTTTTCCAACCTAAATGATTCTATGATTCTATGATTCTGGTCATTAAGTATCTATTGTTTTCTTTCTCAACACTAGGTATATCAACCAGCACAAGCTGTGTAAGGAATTTGTTTTGCACCACTGAAGTCACTGATCGCATAGGATCAGGCTGATTTTATACATGAGTCTGGAAAAATCTATCCTCTCTATATAAATTCCCTTTGCAGGGACATTGTTCTTGTCCCACATGTCACCATGTCAACAGTGGTATTATTTTTGTGAAGTATGTGTATATGTTAAAATACTCTATGACAGTAAACCCACTGAAAGCATAAGTTAATCAACTGCAGTTATAGTGTGCTTGCATTGCCACTGTTAACAAATGGACAGTTTATTACAAATTTGCAGATATTTGCTTACCCTTACATTTGTATTCAGAGTAGAACTCTTTCCTTAGAAATTATTTTGCACTGAACTGACAGAAATTTAAACCCCAACTGTGAAATCTGTCTGAAATGAAGGCATAGTATCCATATCAAAGCACCTAAATGCAGGTGTCATATTTTTCCAAGATAGCAAACAGTCCCAGCAATCCTATGGATTACAGTAGGAAGTGGAGTTCCTTTAAAAAATCAGTCCTCTTGGCGGGGGGTATCTGTTTTTACTATCTAAAAGCAACCATAACTGTAGGCACCCAAGTCTGAAAATTCTGGTCTTAGCGAAGTAAGCTATAACATAACAGCAATAACTGTGATTAAATACATAGAGAAGCAGTTCTGAGGGAAAAAAAGGGAACACAGATCACATAGACTTTACTGGGGGTTTACAGAGGAAATTACTTCCAAAAAGGTCAGAACACAAGATGAAAAAAAAATCTGTGATTTTATTATTCATGCCATCTATCTTCAGTTGTGGCAGGTTTTTTCACTGTGCCCTTCATCCAAACAATAGAGGGAATGGACTTTAAAATGGGGAGGGGGAGAAAAAAGGTATTCTCCTGTGCCCAAAGAGCAGAGTGTATTTATTTAAAGAAAAGCATGAAAGAAAGGAGAAAACTCTGCCCCATAAAGGTAAACATTTTAGGTGACTTAGAAAACTGGAAGGTTTGGTGAATATTCTCAGAGAGGTCTAAGTTAGAATGTGTAATCATAATATGATAGTAATAATAATATTATAGCATCATGCTTATAATTTGCCTTCCTGTAGCATTCAGAGTATCTTAATCACTACTTCTTTTATAATCAGAGAAAAATATGTTCTTCATTAGTTTTCTGAGTTGTTTTGCACAGCCCTTTTATGGCATACTCAGTTTCATGTTTCAGGGCTTATGTACAAGCAGGGTCCATTAACACTGCACAGCCACCCTCTCCCAACACCAAATATTTAAATTAAGATTAGAAAATGATAGTGTGATCTTTCTGTAGAAAACACTGTCCTTCCCCTGTGCTTGGCAAATTCTTTTTTATTAAAAAAAAAAAAAAAAAGCTGTTTTCCTTGGATCTGAGCAGCACTGCATACTCTTGAATATTTATAATAATTACATTTTAGTGGCAGAGAACTTGATCTTTAAAAGCTTTTATAGCTGCATTTCAAATTAGTAAAGTGGTTTAGGATATTTGCAATGATAGGATCTTTTCAAACAGCTATCATGTTGTAGTAGTCACTTCCCAAGACTAAAATTTCAATTTTATCATAAGCACAGACCTCAGTACAATGGAAATTTTTACCTCAGTCAGAAATATTGTAGCAGAAATGTAATAAAATCAGAAATAATTTAAATTTTTTGCATGTTTTGGAATATAACACAAAGATGCAATTGAAAATTAGTCTAATTCAGCAGACATCTGGGCAAGCTAGTCTCAAAATTCTCTGCTGTTATCATTATGGTTTCAGAATTGTTCAGTTAACTGTCAGGAAAAGAAGATCTTTTGAATGCTTGCTTTTTTTTTAAGTTGATATTCACCATAATAGTTTTTGCTTTACAGAACTACAAATGAATACAAATATATGCTTTCACATCCATTCTGATCACTGTAAGTGGGACACAAGAGTTATGGAACATCATAATAGAATACTTTAAAATTCTTTTGTAAGATTGAAGATTTCACTTATTGTTACAAAAGCATGTTCTTGTACAATTTTTAAAAAGTGTATTTTAAAAATATCTTTATTTCCCATATTAATCTCTAATGTGTTATCATTAAATCAGTGGCAAAATTAGTATTGCAGTAAAAATGCAGGATTAAAGATTCCTGTACTATTTTTTTAACTTATTTAAATATCTGTTTTAAATTCTAGCTATTTGAGCATAGTTGTTTAAGGTGATATTAGATTAAAATTGACTAATTATCCAACCACTAATAACAGTTTGTGTTTCCCATCTCACACTCTCATCTCTCATTTCCTCTATTTGTGTGACTAAATTCACTCTAGTTCCTGTCATACTGTAAGCTCAGTTATCGAGACATGGCTGACGAGGGCCTACATAGCTTCTTCCACTGACAAGCTGAAGGTATGATAACCTTCGGCAAAGGATGGGTAACAAACGCTTAAGCAGTATTGGGATTTTCAATACCTGAAGGAAGTTTGTGTTCTAGCTCTTGTCCTGCCACAATTATATGGCAAGGTTACTCAACTTTAGCTCCAATGAAAGGGTTTAAATTAGTGTGATTTAAGTCACAGCTGAAGCAGACAGAGAATGCACACTCAGACATTTACAGTAACTTAGGAGGAAAGGCGCCAAATTACTGCAACTTGGTATTTCTTAATCTTATGCCCATAACTTGATGCATGAAGCAGTTTGAACAGCTAAGTAATCAAAATTACACAAACGAGTAAAATAAAAAAGCCTTGGCTTTGCTGTGACAGCTTAAGAGTTTTAACTGGTTTTCATACTTTGATTTTTTTTTTTTCTCTTTTAGAACTTTCCGAAAGGAAGATGCATGGGAAATGGAACATCAACAGACTGCTATGTTCACAGCCAGTGGATACCACAGAAACTGCAGTCTGGCTTTATACAGCCAAGGCAGTATCACTGGTTCAAAAAGTGATAGCAGTTTATCTTCTCCTACACTTCACAGAGGTCATGAAAAGAAAATAGATTATAAATCTCCATCACCACCAATGGGGTATCCTTTGCACTTTGGTGGGCAATTTCCTGAAAAAGGCAGAACAGACAGCTTGCTGAGCCCTGCTTACAATGCCGAAGAAATCAAATTATCGGTAAGTAACTATTTACCTATAACACATATATTCTCAAAGATCCATCTGTGGACCAAATGCAGCCTCGGAGGAGTCAAAAATTAGATCACCCCTGTTGTCATTATTATTTATACAATGCCAGCCCAGCAATAATGGAAATACCTTGTCCTAACATAAATGCAGTTTTTCTGGAGATTATACATCCCCTGCTGGGCCATACCCCCATACTAATAGCAATGGTGATAATTACCTGCCATTATGTGAGAGAGATTTCTACATTTTAGCTCATTGCCTTCTATATTGGCGCACTCTGCTTCATACTGCCTTCTGTAAGGGCACTCTGCTTTAAGTATATTTCCATAATGCCTGCAAACTTACTGCCTTAAGTGCTGTTAGACAAATCAACTTTCTACAGCATTCAATTGATGGATGAAATTAGAGGAATTGCAGCAACTGTTTTCTATGTATTAGCTATTGTATTTGAAAAGGAACAGAAATGGTAACTGCTGTAATCCTTATTTTTCTTTAAATGAAAGAGTAATAGTGCAACATTCTTTCTTTCAGTCTTCATTGGCTGGAGATTACCAACCTCCATGGCAAGTGGGAATAATCCCACTTTGCCTAGGGCAACTCATTATGAAGAACTTTACATAATTCTTTGACTTTAGATCTCTCTTTAAATTTGAACTTTATCCTCTTCTTTAGTATCTGCTTAGTGGCCTTTCTTAGGCCTCCACTACAGGCCACTATTTTTTTCCACTTGAAAACTTCATGCTATTTTCCAGACCTCAAACCATGCAACCACAACATCATTAAATAATGGAATTAACAGGTTAGTAAGGGATGGAGTGTAGCCATCTCTCTGTCCATCTGTGATATGTGCATCTTTGCAACCAGGAGATCCTGAACTGTAGGTGTGTGGCTGAGCCTGCAGAGAGCAAAGAGGGAAGACTTCAGCATTTACTGGGGGGAACCAACAGGCAATTTTCTTGCCACTTGTCACCTGAAGTAGGAGAGAAGGATCATGACACCAACAATCATCTTCAAGCAGTTTGTGGTTGTTGTACACCAGTTCTGCTGTCCACTTCAGAAATGGAGACATGGCTGCTGGAAGACAGTCTTCATAGTCCAGAATCTCACTGTAGATAGGTGTAGTGATGGCTTGCCTGGGAAGCAGGGATTGCAGTGCAGCCCTTCACTGACCACGATCCGAACAGCGGAGGAAACAGGGAGAGAACCACATAGTCCTGGGTGTTTGACCTCACTTCCATTTTTCTATTCTTATGCTTCACAGAAATTTTAAGTAAATGGCTATTGGTTTCTCCTGGCTTAGGAGTCTTCCTCTTTAAACTGCTAATCAGGAAAATAATTGTTTGGACTTTTTCAGTTGAGTCTGATAAACAACAGTTCTCCTCCTCTCTTCTGTCAGAAGAGTCAGACAGAGGTACCAGACCACAAAGCTTCTGTTTCCAGCCAGCCCAGGGAAAATGTCCATTCTGAGACACTTTTGCAAGCTGCAGGGAAACTATTTTCCAGCTGGCACTCAGGACAGGGTCAATGCCAAGACAGTTGACTAGATTATAAGGAAAACACTTTCCAGCTGGTGTGTGGGAAAAAGTACATAATGAAACTATTAAGCAAGGGATAATTCTCATACAGTGTCTAAGTCCAAATCAGTGGCACTGAAGCACGTACAAGTTCAGAAGATAGCCAAAATTAAATCATCACTCAGACTGACATTGGACACCACCACTTTAGTGCAGAGATGATTCAACAGTCTGTTACTCTAGAGCTCTGTGTTCAAATGGAAAGCCATTGCATCACGGAGAAAAAGGAAAAAAACATACCGCATGTTTTAAACCAGAGTTTTTGAGAGAGTTTTCATGGACTGATATTTCACCTAAGTGAAATCTCCAGTATGTTCAAAACTTTTGAAGATGTTATAACAGACCATTTTTCTGAAGAATATTTATAGCACCAATTGAAAACATCAGAATTGCAGGTGATGTCCTGATACCTACCAAAATTACTCCATTGGTAATGGGGAAGAGAGCAAATAGTTTCTAGGGCTTTAGACAAAGACTTGTATCTCTCCTCCCAGTAGACAGTCTTCAGACAACCTTAGTAAATATTTCACTGGAACCTCTGACCTTTCACATTCCTACTTAGAGGTTACATGTGTAGAGAAGGTCACTCCTGCCTAAACTAGAAGGCTCATCTGGGATTCACTAGAAATTCCCCAAACCCCCAAAATTCTTGTTTCAAGGCTTTTCAAATCTAGGGAAATACTCTTTCTCTGAACAATACTCTGGGGTGTGCTCTCTTTCTGAAATGAACAACTTCAGAAAATAGTTGCCTGATCCATTCCCAGTCTCTGGGAAACCTATTCCATAGAACAGTCCAATGTCCAGCTTCAAGTTTAATCTTTCCCACAGAAAATAAATAAATAAATAGATAAAATAGGCAATAAGATTATTTGCCACTTCAGAATAGTCCGATTCTACACAATTTCTCCATTTCAGCTGGAGCAAGCAGTTACGTACATTGTGCTTCCCAATCTGGATTTTTAACTTGTAGGCACAAATACCTTCTCATGTTTCCCTTCAGATGATGGACAGACATTGTCTGTTCTTGCTTTCAAGACTTGGAAAGACAAGACTTAAGCTGTAGCAAGGAAAATTTAAGTTAAGCATCAGGAAACTTGCTACCCCTAGACATTATTAGGAATGATTTTGACAGTCTTGAGCCTACCCTGAGGCATGCGGTGGTCCATGCATCTCACTCCTATGTATTACTATTACCTAGCTGGGTAGGTATTTAAAACCCTATAAAAACCTTCCAATATGGCTTGGCAATTTCCTATGCATCTCAGTTTTTATTTTCATATATGAGCAGAAGCATGTTGAAGACGGGCATCTGTACCTGCTGCCTAAGATGTATTGCAGTGTAGGGTTGGAGGAACTACCCCCGAAAGCCTCCATATTTAGTCACAGAGAGACTAAAATTAGCCAGACCAATTTCTAGTCTTAGTGTTCCAAGAACTTTCCTGGAAAGTAGAAGGGACTAAACAAGGGAAGACTTTAACACTCTGTGATTTGACCACTCATGATTTGACCACTGAATGTTATAATATCCCAAGTGTTAAAGCTTTATCGCTGCCCCGCTGAAGGTGCATCCAAAAATGTTGGGACAACTTGTGGGGCAAGAAAGGGATTAACTCTAGGCAAATTAATCAGGCAGTCTGTGATACCTAGCTTCCTGAAGTGCTTCTCCCAAGCAATCCAGAGTTAATTCATAAGCACTTTGGGTAGTTCTTGCTTAAGCAAAAGACATATTTAGCACATATTTCATATGTGAAAATATGCATTTCTATCAGGTGCACTCCTTCATTTCCAGCAGATGAAATGTTATAATATCCCAAGTGTTAAAGCTTTATCTCTGCCCCGCTGAAGGTGCATCCAAGAATGTTGGGACAAAAGGTGAGGCAAAAAGGTGATTCTCATTACTGGTCTACCCCAAAGAAATATGGGATCAGCTGACACTGTAGAAATGAAAAAGTAGAGTCCTTGTTGCCTAACTAACCAAACAAGTTAGGCTGAACGCTTACCAATGAACCCATTTCTATCCAGCTCCAGTTAGAAAACTAAAAGACATAAAAGAAATGTTATCTGAAGAAAAGAAATTCAAAACTAGGGACCACGAATCTCATCTGAGACATGGATTTAAGCAGTTTCTTTATGTTTTTTCTTCCTCAGGCACTGAAAGTAAAGACAATAAAGAACATAGTGAAAGAACAGGCTAGAGGCTTGGAAAGCAAAGCTTAGTTGCTAATAAGAAAAGTTGCCTTTTAGACCAGTTTAGATACAACCTTCTCTCAAAGTGCATAAAACCCTGTGCATTAGGGACCTATCTAAAACAATAGTCAATGATGTCTAACCCTCAGGTAAGGAGCTGTAGGCAACCCTGATCTGCTTATTCTAAGTGATAAGCATTCTTCTCTCAACTCTGAGGAAATTCAGAAATGTCGCATTTGGAGTTTACAGTGTATTTCAAGAAAAAAAACACATCAAAGTAAGTACCAGTTGAAGCAAAGGACACTAGCATTTTAGGAAGATAGCTTAATCATGAGGCCAATATGTTTCTAATGATCCAGTCAGCAATTGTAAACATTGTTACAATGAATCTCTGAGAATCTCTCATAACTTCATATACTGTTTCTGAAGACTAGCACTTGTGTAAATCTGTCCATATGGAAAAGCCCGACGTGACTGTTTTCCTCTAGGTGATGACACATTACATTTGTATTTCAGATTCACATTTTTCCAGTTTCTTATACTTCTCACTGGAAGTATTTTATTTGCTCAATACTGAATCAGTGATTTCAGAGCTGGTATTCAGTAAGCAAAACACACAGTGATTCTTTAAGTAAAGCCTCCAAATCCAATGTCTTCTTCATAATACAAAAGCCTTCTTCAAATACTTCAAAATAATACTACCAACTCTGTCATTGAATCCAAACGTCACAAGGATATACATTTGTGACCTAGCCCATGGAGAAATAAATGTGCATATAGCCACGGCATTCAAAATCTCAGGAACAACTCTTCATATGAAAACAATGATGATTTATGGATGGGAATTCATGCATGTGTTTATGGGGAAAACCAGAAGGTAGGTGATCTCCCTCCAGTGTTTCTCAAACATTGGAAAATTAACATTCTTTCTTATCCCCGCTACTGCAGGAATTAATAGAAGAGCTTTGTGGCACAAAGTGGTCCAGTAAAGATTCTGCTTTATCTGTGAGTTTCATTTTAGGAGCATCAGAAAGCCTGTCTCACACAAAAAGGATGGTATTACATTCAGAATTTATTTCCAGCTATTGCTTACTTGCTGGACTTTGAAAAGAAAAGGGGTTTCCTACAGGAAATCTCTAAATTTCATCTCAAGGTCTGCTGCAAAGAGTTTGAATAGAACAGTGCTTTAAAGCATTTCTCTAGTTAGTATCTTTAGGCCTGAAAAGCTGCTAAAGGACAGTTATAAACCAGTCTGAAAGCAAAGACCAAATTTGCCTCTAGTTGCTGTGGAAATGGGGAATACCCCATTCTGATACAATGGAGCCTAGAATAAAAATTTACAGGAGTAATAGAATTGGCCTTGTCACAAAACATTTGGATATTTAAATTATTTAAAGCCAAGCTCACTACCCTGGACTTAAGGAGAGCAGATTTTGGCTTCTTCAGGGGTCAGCTTGGTAGAGTACCTGTGGGATAAAGCCCTGGAGGGAAGAGGAGCCCACGGAAGCTGGTTAATATTCAAGGATCACCTCCTCCAAGCTCAGGAGCGATGCGTCCCAACAAAGAGGAAGTCAGACAAAAACACCAGGAGGCCTGCATGGATGAACAAGGAGCTCCTGGACAACTCAGACACAAAAAGGAAGCCTACAGAGGGTGGAAGCAAGGACAGGTAGCCTGGAAGGAATACAGAGAAATTGTCTGAGCAGCCAGGGATCAGGTTAGGAAAGCTAAAGCCCTGACAGAATTAAATCTGGCCAGGGACATCAACGGCAACAAGAAAAGCTTCTATAGGTATGTTGGTGATAAAAGGAAGACTAGGGAAAATGTGGGCTCTCTCCAGAAGGAAATGGGAGACCTGGTTACCCGGGATATGGAGAAGGTTGTTCAATGACTTTTTTGCCTCAGTCTTCATCAACAAGTGCTCAAGCCACATCGCCCAAGTCACAGAAGGCAAAGGCAGGGGAGAATGGGAGAATGAAGAACCACCCACTGTAGGAGACCATCTAAGGAACCTGAAGGTGCACAAGTCCATGGGACCTAATGAGGTGCATCTGTGAGTCCTGAGGAAACAGGCAGATGATGTTGCTAAGCCACTATCAATCATATTTGAGAAGCTGTGGCAGTCCAGTGAAGTTCCCATTGACTGGAAAAGGCAAAATATAACCCCCATTTTTAAAAAGGGGAAAAAGGAAGACCTAGGGAACTACAGGCCAGTCCGTCTCACCTCTGTGCCCAGCAAGATCATGGAGCAGATCCTCCTGGAAACTATGCTAAGGCAGATGGAAAATAAGGAGATGGTTGGTGACAGCCAACATGGCTTCACCAAAGGCAAACTGTGCTTGCCAAATTTGGTGGCCTTCTATGACAGAGTTACAGTGTTGGTGCATGACGTCCTTGTCTCTAAATTGGAGAGACATGGATTTGTCAGATGGACCATGTGATGAATAAGGAATCGGCTGGATGGTCACATGCAAAGAGTTGTGGTCAACAGCTTGATGTCCAAGCGGAGACCAATGACAAATGGCATTCCTCAGGAGTCGGAATTGGGACCAGCACTGTTTAACATCTTTGTCAGCGACATGGATAGTAGGATCAAGTGCACCCTCAGCAAGTTCACCAACAACACCAAGCTGTGTTGTGCAGTTGACATGCTGGAGGGAAGGGATGCCATCCAGAGGGACCTTGACAGGCTTGAGAGATGGGCCCGTGTGAACCTCATGAAGTTCAACAAGGCCAAGTGCAAGGTCCTGTGGGTTGGGGCAACCCCTGGTATTGATACAGGCTGGGCGGAGAGTGGATTGAGAGCATCCCTGAAGAGAAGGACTTGGTGGCGTTGGTTGATGAGAAGCTCAACATGACCCAGCAGTGCGTGCTCACAGCCCGGAAAGCCAACTGTATCCTGGGCTGCATCAAAAGAAGGGTGGCCAGCAGGTCAAGGGAGGCGATTCTCCCCCTCTACTCTTCTCTGAATTCAGCTTTGGGGTCCCCAACGTAAGAAGGACATGGACCTGTTGGAAGAAGTCCAGAGGAGGGCCAAGAAGATGATCTGAGGGCTGGAGCACCTCTCCTATGAAGACAAGCTGAGAGACTTGGGCTTGTCCAGCCTGGAGAAGAAAAGGCTCTGGGGAGACCTTACAGCAGCCTTCCAATACCTGAGGAGGGCCTACCAGAAAGCAATGGATGGGGGAGAGAATTGGAAAAAAAGGACAGCAGAGGAAGAGAAAATACTACTACTAATAATAATAATGATAGAAGAATATACAAAACAAGTGATGCACAATGCATTTGCTCACCGCCCACTGGCCGATGCCCAGCCCAGAATGACGCCATATGGTCTGGAACAGCCCTTTGGCCAGCTGGGGTCAGCTGTCCTGGCTGTGCCCCCTCCCAGCTTCTTGTGCCCCTGGCAGAGCAGGGGAAGCTGAGAAGCCCTTGACTGGTGTAAGCCCTGCTCAGCAACAACTGAACCATCAGTGAGTTATCAACATTCTTCTAGTACTGAATCCAAAACACAGCGCTATGCCAGCTACTAGGGAGAAAACTAACTTTATCCCAGCTGAAACCAGGACAACAAATAAACACTGAATTTATTTAAACAAGCATAATATCTTTAGGCAAAGAAAAACTATTTCATATTTCCTTTGATGAAGACATTCCAATGAACGCATCTTAAGTGTTAGCAAAAAGATTTAACAAAAATTGCTGCTTAAAAATTTCAAAGTTGTTCCAGTGAAGACTCACTCATGTCCTTTGCTTTACACAACTCTGAATCCCATGACAACCATTTTAATACTGATTTTGGTGTGGTTCATTACTCAGTTTACTAAATGCTCATTAAATGGAAAGAAGATTTTTCAGTGAACTACTTGCAGCGAATAAAATTTAGTACATTCCCCAGACTATCAGGGCTTGAAGTTGATAGTCCTGAAATGAGCATAAGTTTTCTTCCTTTCCTCAGAAAGCATCACATCATAGGAGCAGAGAGCAAAAATTACAGGAGGCAATCAGCAGTACCCAACACTAGTTATATTCTGTAATTCCAGAAATCAAATTATCGTCTTCTGTCCTGGTCTAAATTATACAAGTGACGAACATAACCTTTAGCTGATCCAAAGATTTTGGAGGTTCTGAAGCAGCTTGATTCTGCCTAATGGGATATTTACATTTTTAATGGCAAATCTACATTGTAACGCTGTGAATATCACAGGTATTCAAACATCATGTTCACATTATGCCATTTAGGCACCTGAATGCCTTTAAAAATGTATGCCCACATTTGTGTTTTCTTGGAGAGATATAAAGCATTATAGCGTTATTAGCTGCTATAGGTCAAGATGTTTTTCAAAGCTAAGATTTGTTAATGCAAACATGTTGTAGTGCTTGCTGGTTTTTTCTAACCATGATTTTGTACCCATTGCTCAGTCTCCCCCTGAGATGTCCTTCCTTGCAACGACAGAAAAGTTCCTTCAAGAGGAAGAGAAACATACAAGAGAGTTTGAAGAACGTTTAAATTCGCACCTCGAAGAACTGCAAAGACATTCTGAAAATACTCTAAAAAAATATGCCAGGATACAGCAAAGCCGGCATACTTAAGCCAGTCACAGAATTAAGAAAATAAAACCAAGTAATCACCCATGGGAACTAAAATCTGCAACTCGCTCTTTAATGCATTTAGGCACATTGCCAATAGCATGTTTTTTTAACACCAAGGTTTCAGTAAGATAATCATTATCCTATGGATTTAGGTATATTGTTAACTTGACTATATTACAAAATACTGTACTCTAAACGTATTCTAAAACACACGGGTTGGTTTTGCATAGTTAAATTGTGTGCAGCAGAGACCCTGTTGTGGCACTGTGAATTAAGAAAGATACTTCCAATTCTGTGATGTGCAGAGGGCTAATAAGGGGAATTATTCCCTTGAAAATACAACCAGCCAAGAGGAATTCTCTCGATTGCACAGAACAAGAATAACAGGGGACTTTAGCCATGTCACAGCTCCTAACATAAAGAGCTTATCTATGCTCTGGTTATTCTTGGCTATAGAAATAGCCCTTGGGACTCTTGAAATGAGAAGTCTGAGTTCTTCTTTCTCATGCTCTAAGCCATGCAGGTCCGTGAGGGGAACATGAATAGACAAAGCATGTATTTTGAAGCCACCTGTATTGCCCCTTTTACCAGACCTATAGACTTCACCTGGGGCAGAGCCTGATCTCAGGTGCTTTACATGCTTTACATTAATACTTCACAATTTTTAAATCCTGTCTTCAAAAGCACCTGTTTTGGTACTGATGGTTCGATACTGTATTGGCTTGTTGGCTCATTGTTCAACTGCATTGGAATATGGGAAAAAAACTTTAACTTCAGACAACTTGTTTTAGGTGAGGGCCTAAATTCTTTATATTTTTCTAAAACATAAAAAAACATTGTAAAACTGAGCAGAGTTCATTCAACTCCATGTGCCGAAAAACTGCATAATGTTGAGATTCCTTTTATTTGCAATTCATACTGAATTCTATTGCTGTGCAAGCGAAACAGAAATTACAGACAGTGTTGATGAACCACCAATTTCAGTGAAAGAGAGACTGAAGAAGTGCTTTCCAGCATACACTGTTGCCAACTTCCTGGAAAAATCTGGATAAAAATAATACCAGACTGTCAAACAGCTCCAGTTTGTGAGTAAAAGAAGTCTCGTTAATATTCAAGACCACAGCAAAAATGTAAATTGTTTTTGGAAGCTGTATTTCCATTAAAACAAAATACACTACATCACACTTACATAAAATACCAAGATTTTAAATACCAGTTTGGCTCAGTTTGCAATAAAATGAGTAATGAAAATCAGGGCCTCAACGAACATTTTACAGGAAAATTCAGGAAAATTACCAGACTCAGCTGGAGGAACAAGGACTGAATAAAACGATGATGGAAGGACATCTGAACAAACCAAATATATATGCGTCCCCAACTTAAGGGCAGATGCATCCAGGAGTTTTAAAAGAACTAATGAAGAAATTCAGGAACCTCTGGAAATGAAGCTAAATTTTAAGCTGGGAAAGATCTGATGAAGCATAAAGACAGCAAAATGTCTTTCAGAAGGGCAAGAGAAAAAAAATATGGGATATTAGCCAGTTAGCCAGATTCTTTTGCCACTGCAAGATTTAAACACACAAGACAGTATGCTCCAGATCTTCAAAGAAATGTATGCCTGAGTCCAGACCAGGCCTGAGGAGTCCTCTCATGATACAGGTCTGTGTCATGATACAGAATGAATGAATGAAACTATCAAAAAAGAGTAAGATTTTTTTTTCTAATGCTTTTAAAGTTCTGGCCAAGCTACTAACGTTAGCTAATGAAACAATGGCATTCATTTCAGCCTGGCTTTTGTGTAACGCCATATAATAAACTCCCCGTGAAAAGCACCGAAAACTGCGAAGCACCTGTATCTGAACAGCCTGCGTATTTACTGTTATTTCCCGCTCAGAGCATATTATGCCACTAATGTCCTGAGACAGTATGGACCGAAGTGCCATTTTTCAGACACATACTTACCTGAAAGGTCACCCTTCTCTTCGCCAGCCCAAACTGGCAAAAGGTCCTCGCCTGACAATCCCCAATTTAACCAGGGGCCCGTTGCTGCTGGCTACAACCGGGAGCCACACTGGTTCTGAATACATTAACTGTATTAAAAGGTAGGAAGTTGATTGAACTGGTGAGAGGTTTCTGAAAGAAAATACACGTTCCTGATGTTATCATGCCAAAACCAGTGTGTACGACAGGTACCACATGTCAAGTTATTTGGAAGACTTCTTAAAGAATGATGGACAGCAGAAAAAATAAAGACTGAGAAATTATAGACCTTATGAACAGGGATTGGAGATATATGTATATTGTCAAGAAAAGGAATAATCAGAAGGGTCCAAGGCTATAAATGTCTGAAAGCACCAATAAAAATGAAAAAAAAAAAAAAGAATTCTTAATCATAAGTTCATTTGACAGGACAAGGTGCAATGCTTGGGAGCTAACGATTAGCCAAAACACAGAAAATTTCTATTCTACTCTGTGAATAGCTGGGCAATGGAAAATTCTTATATGCTGCTGGACTTCTTTTATGATTTTTCAAAGCTTTACTGAAAAGCATTTTTTTGGCTCCCAGTTGAAAGACTTGTTTTAAATAAAAAGAACAATGCTTCAGGCTGCCACCAGCTTTTCTCGCTGACGGGAAAACAGAGGTCACGTACACGCAGTTGCCAACATGTTTCATTGAGATATAATTTTTAAGTCGGTGGTGGTGTAAGAGCTGCCAGACCACTGCTGTCCAATTCACTTCCCAAAACTTGCTCTGATGGGGCTGTCAGAGAACAGAAACATTTAAAAGTGGCTCACACGGAAGTTGGGTATTTAGCGCATTTTCTTCCTAGCATTTCTTGCTCTCTTCTTTTTTGTATGGGAAATTCGGGAGTATAAGAATGGGAGAGTGTCGGAGAGACGGCAGGTGCTCCGAACCACGCAGAGAGGAATGCAAACAGCGGCAGCACAACACAGTGCCCGAATGACCACACGAATGGACAAACGTTATGAAAAGATCACAGGCACGGCTTTCTTGCTTTTCCGATGGGTAGACTTAAACAATGGCTGTAGCTTACCCCACCGAAGGCCACCATCAGAGATACTACAGAAAGTGCCGAAACCCCCAGTCTCGCCGCTCTGGCTTTATCGTAGTGTTACTGGTTAGAATTCCTGATTTAACAGGGGTACAATAGCGCACAGAATCAAGCCCACCACCGCTTAACTCAAAACTAACCACCACCAGTGGGAACGAGAACAAAGTCATCAACAGAGCCTGCCTAATGAGATGAGCCCCAGGTGACTGCACTTCTATCTTACATCATGCCAGTCATGGCAGTTGCATTCACGTGGCCAGCTCAGGTATGTGCTGAGCTCCGGCCAGCCTGGATGATTTCTGCCCGTGGGTCTCCAGGGTCCAAACAGCTGGGAGGAGGCAGGGGGCACGGGGCAAGGCCCTTGCCCTGTATTACACAGAGGATGGGATTGCATTCCCATCTGGCTTTGCAACCTACAACAGCCAGCTCTATCTTCACACTCACTTTTTTTTTCTTCCATTTAATTCCATGCAAAATAGCTATCCACTAGATTTTACACCAACTGCCTTGTGCTCGGGAAGGTTTTTTTCTTCTCAGACACAGCAGTCTGCCGAGAAAATGCTAGGTTGAAGGTTGTTCATAGCAGAGCTTGTCTGAATCGGCCAAACCAATGTGGGAATTGTGTGTTGTTTTTTCCTCGCTGTAGGGTTCAGATCTCAAAGTTCACTGTGTCTGTGTTACTATTTAATCACATGGACACCCGCAAATCCATAAATAGGCTGTAATTTGATGTACTGCACCTAAATTTCTGCTAGCAGACTGAGCAACGCCCCTAGACACCGACACACTGCACTCCGGTGTCCCTTCCTAAACCAACAAACCAATCGCTTCTTTCCTCTGATTTGCTCTTAACCAAACTCTGGGGGCTTTGGAAAAGATTTACCAGGAACGTGTTTGCCCAGTTACGAGAACATGACTGCATGCAAAGAAGTCCTAAACCATCCCGTCACTGAATTCCCTGCGACAGATGTAGCATTTATTTGGCTTGACGCGAAGCCTTGTACAATCCCAGATGGAGCAAGAAATCCTACCGATGTCCTGGCCCTTGGTACCCCACGTAAGCACCATAACAAGAATTTTTTTGGTTGAACCTATTCAACCAAATAAAGGTGGTGCACAGCAGACAACATCAGCTCCATCTGCAGCGACAGTGAAGACACTTGGCTGGGACATGGATGGCAGGACTTGGCTTTGCTGGTGCATTGCACCTGAACTGGAACCACCTGCCCTGGAAAGAAACTTCTCCTGGTAAGGAGCGGCTCCGAGAGGCAGGTCCAAAGCAGAGAATCAAAGCTCAGGCTCTGGTTCCCATCTGCTGGAGCTACGGGAGCGTTCAAACCCGTGTGCGTACCGTCCAGGCACTGGACATAAACCATCTGAGAAAAAGACTGGTGCATTTTCTGTGCCGCATGTACGTAAAAGCGCCAATTTCCCAACATCAGGATGTGAATCAGTAAACATTTTCTTGTCAATGGATTGCAACAGAAGACCAAGAGCCAATGTCTCTGAGCTCTGAAAATACATTCAGTTCTTCCTTCAGACCACAGGCCATGTCGCTGGCTCCCCTCGCTTGGTCTTGGGGAGCTGGGGCCATTGGTAACACAGACGGGCATTTACCCCTTGCGAGAACACTTGACACGATTCCTTCATTTTCTTAGCACTTTGCAGACATTTACAAAACTCCATTCAGACCTTGATCTTCAAGTATTTGACTCAGATGTGATTTATGCTTTGAAAAATTGGTTTTAAAAAATTGCTTCTATAACTTATCAGAAGGCAGTGGCAAGTTTTTAATGACTTCACCCGATAATGAGCACTCACGCAAAGCGTATCATAAGACACCGCTGAAGAAGTATCTCAGCATGAGTTTTCTGGTAAAATGCTTGTAATAAATCATTCAATTTTGCCCATGAGCTACTGTATGCTGTGAAAAGGTCTGAAACCCTATTTCTAAAACATTTTTGAAGGCAACTGACACTTGGAGTAATACATACAGTTAAAAAACCATAGACACAGTTACACCTTGGGCTGAGAAGTTCACAGGAGTTGACATTTGGGCAACTGCCATTAATTTACTTCCCGATTATTTCCCAGTGGTTTTTGACAGTTTCTGTCTACAGAGGCCTTGTACCATTTCTGCAAATGCGCATTCTCCCATCCGATACCAGTAAAAGGGAATTCGGTAGAAAATGCCAGACTCCGGCTTCATTGTTTACTAGAGAAAAAATGTATTTTTATTATTTTTTTTTAAAGATTCAAGCTGTGAAATCAATTCTAGCTTCGGCATAAGGAACAATTCAGAATGTGTAACACTGTTTTCCTCTCAATTAGCACTCAGTAAAATTGCACGTTTCAGGGAATTGAAACACATAATGTCTCTTATTAGCATTAAGCTATAGGTTTCATATTAATAAACATTTGGCTCTGAAAAGTTGATTATTGTGACCTGAAGAATTTGCAGATGACAAGAGGCAAAGGGAGGGCATCAGAAAAAAACAGCAGAAATGAAACATCTCATTAGAGAAGTAATCTCAAATATTATCGAACCCAACTGACCTTTACCTATTTGGTTGCTATCAGCCAGTTAATTGCTCTTTCGCGTCACAGGCCCAGCTCTGGCAGAAAATGAAGGGGAAAAAACCTCAGGTAAGGACTCTGAACAGTTTCAGGGAAGGCTTTCCGAATTATAAAGTTATTGCTTGAGCTGATAAAAAAGCCCTGCAGGTGGAACGGACTGAAATAAATCCGCTCCTCAGAGATGGGAAAGTCACAGGGACTTCGTTAGAGCCCTCAGAAAGCATCACAGAACGAGCAGGGACAGGGAAATCTTGGTTAAGAACCTATGGAAGAGGAAGATGAGGAGGAGGAATCTATGGAAGAGGTTTAGCAGCAAGTTTGTTTCTACTCTAGGTGCCCAAGACGCCACGTACCCAGACAACGTGCACACTTCAGCTCCACACGCTTTTGTTCGCTTCCTCAGGCACAAATTTCATTCAAGCTGAGCGCCGCCTTTCAAAACAGGGCAAACTACCAGAGCTCCACCGCAGCCACCCTGGCCCGAGGGTAACATAGAGGACAAAAAGGCTCTGGTGCCTGGGAGAACAGAAGGAGCTGGGAGACGACACAGACCAAGCCATTACTTTTACAGACGCCTCACTTCAGGTCTGCCCGTCGAAGGAAGCAGGTCCCAGTACCCACGCACAGACGACTCCAAGTCTCAGCACACGGCCCGATAAGCACAGGGGACCCACAGCAGCCTCCCCGCCGGTCACTCGGTGGGTGAACACTCCATCAGGCACACCGTGAGGATCTGTGTCTTTTGTTGTGCATACACCACACCCGTGCTGCAAGCTGGGGGGGGAGCCAACCTAACTGTTCATCCAAACCCTTCTTTTTAGTTTTTAGTAAAGTTTGTATTTCAAAAGCATCCTAGTCCGCAGGGCCAGTTTAATTCTAGGCAGTACCGACAGTGGTGGCACAGCAAGCGTCACGAGCTGTGGTCATCCCAGTCCCATTCTGAACTGGGCCAGTTTAGAGCTGGCTGCAGACTCACCCCGCTCGGGGAACACCTGCCTTGGGGCAGGGAATTGCATTTGCCTGCCTCAATTATTTCGTTGCAAGACAACTTTGGTTGGCAGCAGCATTCTGTGCAGGACCAATACGCAGGGGTAATGCAGAAAGCAAGGCACGGTCTTTCACTGGCGCGCGTGTGGACAGTCCCGCTGGCTTCTCCGGGACTACCCCCCTGCCAACGGACAGCGCATGAGGTAAAGACTCGAGGGGTCTCTGACTTCTCCCTACGCTGCAGCATCACATTCTTCCTTGCTCAGCCTGTGTTTAAGCAGCAGTCAAGAGTCCTCAAACTCCCCAGAGTCTTCTGAAGGTTAATGCTTATGGAGCGCCTCAAAATACTTGGGTGGTAAAAGGCTGTAGAAGAATACAGGATTATTGACGCTTTTGGATCAGAATTCATAGTTTGATTTCTTCAAATAAAACTGCCCAAGCAGTGCTCACAGCTTCCTTTAAGTGAGGGGGAGAGGGGGATGTCACAGGACAGCAGCTCACTTCAGCAAACAGGTTAGAGACCCGAGCTACACCGACGACACTTTCCCTTCCTTTAAAAAAAATTTAAAATAAAAAAATAAAATCAAGAGCTGTATCCAAAATCACCTTTTTATTGCCACTTTATACAGATTTAAATATTTAAGATTCAGATAAACAACTATGTGTTTATGCTGTTTGTTATTAGTTACTTCATCATAAACTGGTAGACTCTCCCTTTCCATCTCCTGCAAGGCTCATTCCGGCAGATCCTGAAGTATTCACTTTGCATGTTGAAGAAATTCTTTTTGAGCAAACGCTATAGTGTTTAATGAAAAAATTATTACACAATGTAGGCTTTCACAATAAGTCACATTTTTTGCAAAATAATTTGAAGATTCCAAGTAAGACTTCTCTCTTTTATTCAAAAAATAAATATATCCTTTCTGAATCAAAGCACTTCATATGACATTAAGTACAAAGAAGACCTGTACTTCTTTGGAAGTTCTGAAACAGACATACAAGAGCTCACGGGAGCGACAGTATCCAGAACAGTGATAAAAGCTGAAAGCTGATGTTTTACAAATTTATAGCAGAACATGATTTCCTTTTACAATACAGAGCTTCAAACAGATTTTAGAAAAACACCATTTTAAAAGTCTGAAAGGCACATGAACTGGACCATAAAACGTACTGGCACACTCACGAATACGTTTTATGTTACGTTCCTAAAGAAACTGCGGGACCCTAACCAAGAGAAAGACTGAAAATACCAGCAAGTTCCTTTGTAAAGTACTGAAAGAGTGGCAGAGAGTTCCTTTTGGCTCTTGATAAAATTACTAATACCCCAAAGCTAGAAAGTCTGAAAAGCTGCATCATTCAGTTGTATTTGGACGAGTCGCTACATAAACAAACACAACAATCAGCAGTACTACAACCGCCAGCGTGGGAAGCACGACGGTGGTGATTTGTTGCCGGGCCTCTTGCATCGCCTGTTTTCTCTCCTTTTTATCTTTGGAGGTCTCTTTTTTGGGTTTTCCCCTCAGCTGCCTCATCCTCCTCTTAGGATCTTTTGTTCGCCGAAACGGGGGAGCGCAGGGAGTTGAGCGGCAGAAAGCAGTCCAAGGTCTTTTGAAGCACGGGATTGAAGAATTCCTTCTCCTTCAAGTGGTTGGCTGTGCAAGAGACTATGAGAGAAGGAAAAAACACAATTCTTTTGAGCAAGAGCTGCACATATTCTAGTTATTAAAACCACTTGCAGCTCCACTTGGTAAACCTTTTATCCAACCGGCACCGATATCGATGCAGCTTCTTTCAAGGAAGCGGAATCGCAGTGCGCTCGCTCAGCTCGTCAATACTTTCCCCATGAGAACCACAGCAGTTCACCGCGGCGCGCGTATTTGTCCAAGCGCACTGAACTCGCGCTCTGTTAAGCCAGAAACGAAGCCCAGCACCATACATTTTATCCTCTGAGGCAAACAAGGTAACGCAGCTAAAGACTTAATGAAAATAATGTGAATTAGCAGGGTACCAGCTGCCCCTTCTCGTCACAGCAGCAGGCTCCAGCCAAAGGCCCGTGGCTCCCCCCAAACCTACAGACCGAGGACAGGCGAGCACATGCCCTGCCGAAAGGAAAAGCATTACACGTTTATCATCCTCAGCAGGTATTTATCGGAATAAAGGGTATTCTAATGGGAAGAAATGTGGGGAAAGAGCTGTTTAACTCACACTTCTGGCTCTGCTGCCATAGGACGAAGTCTAAATCATAACACGACTCAGTGCTGCCCCTTATTATAGCTGTCATTTTTATAAGAAAAAAATCCCAAACGACGACCAGCCTGCTTACAAATCACGGGCGTAGACAAGCAGCCATTAATAAGGTACTTGCTCTGAAGCATCTACGAGACCAATTTTTAAAAGCAGAAGCATCTACATAGCGAGATTAACAAGAACATGGCACGATATGAAAGCCTCTCTGAAATAAGGAGAATTAGTAGGTGCTTAATATTTCCATGCCCTATGTTTTTTGCCCCTAAGCTGCCTACAGCTGTGTAATTCACTGACGGCGCGGGGAGGAGGGAGGATGCCAACCGTTTGGCTATTTTCCTCATCACCACATCCCCCAGTTCTGCAGCGGCACAAGAGCTGGACACAGGCCGGACGGATCCAAACACAAATTTGGAGGGTAACAATTACTGGTGTCAAATAATGAGCTGAACTGAAAGCAAACTATGAACCGATGTTTTTCCATCACTCCCTAGCATTCCGAGAAGAAAACATACGAAGAAATTAGTGGCTTAACATAACTGCCTCTTTTCTTTCCTCCTCCTTTACATCTGTTTTAGCGTGCTGCCGTCGGTGAGGAGCATGCGTCAACAAGCAAAGCCGCAAAGCTCGCTCAGTTCACCACGGACACGATTTCCTCTTGATGTGTCATCTCTGGTCAACGTTACAAGTTGCCTTATGACTACTTTTTAAAAAGAGAAGTGGTTTTCACTGAAAGTGGGATACTTTCTGTTGGCGTTGGCACTCAACCTCACTTGTCAGCCCGACAGAAGCAAAACCAAACTAAAATGCTCACGTACAAAACAAGAATCCCCACCTACCGGTTACATGCAAGTACAAAGGAGTTTTCACCCTTTCTCATAGCAGCAGCGACTCACCTGCCGGGAATCTCAGCCAGCCAGGTGGGTTGGTGAGACGCTGCATCAGTTAGGGTAAAATCTCAAATAACTCTACCAACTCAAACTATGGAAGTGACCAGACTATCAGAGCAGCCACGTGGTACTGGGAAACCAAGAGCCAACCAGTATTTCTCAGTAGTGTTTCTCAGTCAGCATTTCTGCTTTTACATGGTCCTTCCTGGATGCAACCCAAAAAACACCACCAACAACAAAAAAAGCCATCGGGCATGACAAGATCTCAGTGCTCGGCTGGATTCACCAATTCTGCATCCCATGCACACACACCTTTCAAGCAGCTGTTTCTTCTGATCATAAGCTTTGCCAATTCAACCTGGACTCTAAGGCAAACACTTCATTCCAGTTTTGATAAAGCATAACAGGGAAATTTTGGTGATTGGAATGATTTTCAAGGAGGAAACAATAAAATTCAGGTCTTAGAAAGAACCAATTCCTTCTGCAAGCTGCAGCATTAGAATTGAAATACGTAACAGATTTAAGGAGACCAGAAGCAGTCAGTGAACTTCGTAACAGGGAGGTAAATAGGACCTGGATGGAGCATCTACACATGACGCCCTGTTCCGGTCTTTTAATCAAATGGGGTTTCATTTCTAAACTGTCCTAACTGTTTCTTCTCTGCAAATCCTCAGCTCTCTTACTGGCTCACAGGGCAGAGTCTGTGGTATTCCACCTTCTGCAAGCTACGGGTTTCTGGTTTGGTTTTGTTGTTTATCACTTCTCTAATGGACTCTTGAATTTCTTCTGGGGCAAAAGAAATCTCTGTTTTACCCCTTCCACTTCTGTTTTGTTCTCCTCCTGCTCTGGTCACAAGCTTTATTACCAAACTAGAAAAACTACTATGCAAAATAAAGTCTTCCGTTTGCCTTTTGGGGTAACCAGACAACCAGAGCATTTCAGGCTGCAGTACTTTCATGCTGTTTTCCGTCTCTACCGTTAATGTACGTCAGTGGGTTTTGTATCCAGAGTACTCACAAGACCCAAGAAGTGATGGACAGTGAAAGCCTTTGGGACTTTCTGTGTACCATAGTAACAAACAGGAGTTGCCATGAAACCAATTAACAATAAATGTATGCCTTGCTCTACGCAGCATCACTTGCTACCCAGACATGAAAAACATCAGGATTTTTTTTTTAAGTCTCTTTTGAATGAATATTTCATTCTGAAGCAAAATTATAGCAAGTTAATTACATACACTAGCTAACATCTGATGGCTTAGAACAGAAAGCCTTCCCACAAATGTCAGCACCACTTGAATGGCAAGCTGATGCTCTCCAGTTTGGGAATCTGGCATCCATCTCCAAATACGTTTCCAGTAGATTGGCTTACTTGGCTTTGCTACTGGCAGAGACGGACTTGCACAGAAACTGGCCCACAGTTTTCAGAGAGATGAGCCTTAGGGTTCGTCTTAACTGAACCGTAAAATGGAAGCGGTGAATCTCTGCAAGCTGCTGCCAGGCCCCTGCTGCCGCTTGAAGCTGGGACACAACTGCCAGTATCGGGCAGTTGCTGCAAGAGACAACACTGCCCCACAGGAAAGGTCCGGGACATTGTGCACGCTGCTGTGCTCACGTTGGTATGAAACAGTGCTTAAAAAAATGGTGCTCAGCTTCGTAAGACAAAATTCTACGGCCCACGTTGTACAAACGGACAAAGAGAGGCACAGCTCTCCCCTTCCACTGCCAAGCCTCTCACTGGCCACCCATGGACTTCACTGGAAGGCAGGTGACTGCTGACAGTTATGGAAAGGAAAAAACAGATACACAAAGTACAGCAAGTCAGGGCCAGGGCTGGGATTAAAATGTTAGGGTCTCATTCCCCGTGGCGTGCACGGCCCATGAGAACAAATTACCTCATGTTACTGAGCGACGTCCTCCTTCAGCCAGTGATCATCCTGCTTGCGCACTGGGAAGGCAAAACTCAAGCAAAGAGAGGAAGGAAATAATACAGCATTGGGATGGGTGTAATTAAACAGTCTAGCTAGCACTGCCCATTTAAAATGTCTCGGAGCAAGCAGCTATCAGAAGGGCAATGAGAAAGCAATGTCCCACAGGTCTTGTGGGAACTGGAACCTTAGCGATCAGCTAACCTCACATTGCGGAAGAACTAGAAACTCACCTTTTCTCCTCAAACGGAAGCTGAGAGTCTCCTTTCCATTCCTAGTCTCCCCTGAACAGGAGAGGACTCACTGCCACAGGCTGTACGCGTCCTCCTAAGGCTGCTTCCTATTTCTAGCAACTGCCCAGCCAGGCCCAAGCATCTGCCAAGGCTGGAAACAAGCACCAAACTAGTTCAACTACTGCTTTTACTGGAAAGTCAGCAACTCCCTCAACTGGGACATTTATAGCAACAGCACAGAAGGGATTAACAGACTCCAGCAGAAGTGGAATATCCGTAGTCCACAACAGTGTGACAGGAGTCTGGCACTAGTCAGAGGCTATAACTTCACCTTCCTTTTATGAATTTTGCAATTTAAAATCTGATAATAAAATTGCATAGGGCAATGAGGTTATTTTTAAGTTTATGATAGCAACGTTTCCCCCAAAAGCAGGAATCTGCTGGCTCAAAAGAAACCATCTCAATTGCCAAGTCAAGAAAAGGAGCGTTGGCTCGGTGTAGTTGTTTGAAACATCCATTTCACAGAGACTACTTCTTCTCTCAACACTGCAGTGCTCCAACTTGACACTGAAAAGCTAAGATTTCAAGCAGAACAAAACATTAAAAAGTTCAAGCTACTGAAGACAAACCTAAAGACATCACTCTTCAACTTAATAAAAATTCACAAATTTAGTACCCTGGCTTGACGTCTAGAGCAATTACATTCCTCCTTGCCCATCATCCAAATTGCTTTTTAGATGTGAAAGTGCTCTTCGTTCTACCTTCTGGGTTAAGTTACTCTGAACTGTTCTGCAGAGCCAACCTCAAAACCCAAGAGCATAAAGCAGCGGACTTGCTGAAGTCACTCATACCAATGCTGAAGCATTTGCCAGCATCTTAAAGCAAGTCAGTTATGGTTAAGCAGGGCTAATTTTGTACCAGAAGGCCGTAGTGAAACTTGTGGGGACTGGTACGTCCTTGAAAATGTATCAACAATCTTCCAACCAGAATTTATGGCAATCGGCTGTCTCCTTTTTCTTTTTTTGTAAAATTAACCCTGACCATTAGAAACCAGCAATTAAAAGCTCCTCACAGGGCACACGGCCATTCCTGAGAGTCCTGACTCCAGCCACACCAGCGCTTGCCGACTACTGCAATTCTGCATCTCCTTCTACATGCAACACGTGCACAGATTTTGTTGATCTGCATTTAGTGTAATCGCACGTCTAGACGTCTGAAGAACTTATTATCTCTTTTTTTTTATGTATTAGCCATGTTAAGCCAAGTAATTTTTCTCAAAACCCAAAATTACAAGTGTTGGCAAGCCAATTTGGATTAACCTGGTCTAACCTGCTACTGATACTGCAACATTTCT